ACCACCACATGCTAAACGCACCTGCAGCTTCATGTCTGTGTACAGCTGCTTTATGACCGCCACACACTTCTCGTCCTTCTTGCCGTAGTTGCTCTGTGTTCAGGGGGAGGCAGAAAGGGCAGGCGAGGAGCAAGGTGGGAGGACAGGAGGGTTTCTTCTCCTTCCTTGAGGTGGGTTGGGGAAGGTCATGGGGCAAACCAAATATGGAGTTGTTTACTATTCGACTATTATGTGCTTCGCGTCCGTGCAGGTTCGCAGGCACTGTGCCTGGTCCCCTGTCCACGCCCTCTCACCTCAATCACCTCCTTTGACCGCCTCACAAGCCCTCCCAAGCGCCCCCTACCCACGCCCTCGCACCCCAAAGACCTCCTTTGACCGCCTCACAAGCCCTCTTTCTCAATGATCCGCCGCTACTCCTCCTGCGTGCCCCCAACCGCCCTCTATCCGCGCGCTCTCACCTCAATGATCTCCCTCTGCTCCTGTGTGGCCCGCTGCAGCGCCTGCACCACGAGCCACGAGCACTTGGTGTCCTCTATGTCCGTTCCCACCTGGTGGAGGAGGGGAGCAGCAGCATGTAGAGTACCATACATTCAAACACCCCCTGTGTCCCCAGCTGCTCACCTTGCCAATGACAGCAGGGTCCCCACAACAGCCCAGCACATTGTCCTGCACCTGGAAGTACGTCCGCATCACCACCACACACCCACCTGCAACTCTATACCCAGAACCCACATCACCACCACATGCGCTCCTGTGCTCGCAACGACTCACCTTGCCTATCACAGCGGGGTCCCCGTACCAGTCAAGCACGTCGTCCTGCACCTGGAATGGAAGTACGTCCCCTTCACCACCACACCGCTCCGACCATGATGAAACCCACATGCCGCCCTCCTGTATCCCAAACTGCTCACCTTGCCAATCACAGCAGGGTCCCCAAAGCAGTCGAGCACGTCGTCCTGCACCTGGAAGTACGTGCCCATCACCACCCAACCAGCACACCAGCATGCCTATATCCGGATGCCCTGCCCTCACAGCTTTTCCCCCCAAGTACTGACCTTGCCTATAACAGCGGGGTCACCAAAGCAGTCGAGCACGTCGTCCTGCACCTGGAAGTACGTGCCCATCACCACCAGGATCTCCCTCGCCTGTGCTGCCAGCGCTGCGTCCTCCACACCCGCCAGAATCAGCGCTGTTGCCACCTGGTGTGGTGAGGGGTGGAGACGGGGCAGGGGTGGGTTAAACTCACGGCCCTGGGTGTGGCGACAGGCAGGGTGGGCTTTGTGCTGCCAGTGGTGCATCCATCCTCCACGCCCGCCAGAATCAGCGCCGTCGCCACCTGGGAGGGAAGAGGGATTTGAGCCAACTCAAGATGTGATCTGAATCCATGCAGTTGTTTGACTAGAAAGGTGTTTTGAGCTGACTCAGGATCTCCCTCGCTTGTGCTGCCAGTGCTGCATCCTCCACGCCCGCCAGGATCAGTGCCGTCGCCACCTGGGGGAGGACAGAGGAGGAGGAGAAGAGGCAAGCGCGGGTTCAAGAAACACGGGCGGGTGGGCGAAGGAGAAGGGGAAGGGGTGAGGTTTGAACACATTGCACTGGTGGAACACTGCTGTGGCAACTGGCCAGGCGGGCTTTGCTTTGCCTTGCGCTGCCAGTGCTCCTCCCCGCCTGCCAAGATCAGCGCCGTCGCCACTTGGGAGAATGGGTGCGGGGAGGGGAAGGGGAGGTGAGTGGTGGGGAGGGGAAGTGAGGGGAAGGAACGGGAGACGAGGAGTGGAGAAGGGGTAGGGTTGTGGAGTCTGGACACGTGGGAGGGGAAGTGAAGGGTGGAGAAAGGGCAGGGGGGCTTATGTGTGAGTGTGTATGGGGGTGTGGTGGTGGGGGAGGAAAAGGTAAAGTTTGGTTTAGCACGCACATCAACTCAAGGCTGTTAGCCTGGCACAGTCCGGGTACACATGTTAGGGTTTAGAAGGTTCGGGTTTAAGCAACCATGCATAAGGTAAGGGGGATATTGCAAGGCCAGTAAGTTAGGGGGGGTGGCTCGACCATTTGTTGAGTCATACATACGAGAAGGTGATAGAGAATTGGGGAGCGAGAGCAGCGCACACGCAGGGAGAGCTGAAGTGCAGAAGGCAGAGGGCGGGACGGACGAGATGACAACGAGGAACATGCTTTGGGGGATGAGTTGAGGGCGGGCTGGTGGGAGGGGTGAGGACGATGCTTACAGGAAGGTAGAAGGAGTAGTAGGCTGTCTTGTACTGCACGATCTTGAGATATCTGGAAGATTGGTGCACGGGAGAGGGTTGGGAACAAAGATATGAGACGTCTCAAAACTAGGAGTGGTAGGCTGTCTTGTACTGCACGATCTTGAGATATCTGGGCAAGGGAGAGGGTTGAGAAAAAGGTTGAGTGGACACGGGCATGAGGGATGGGTATGTTATGGTACCATGGTATACAGTGGACATAGTATATCGCCATGGTAGGACCACACGGTATATCCAAGTAAAAATAGTGCATTCTCGCAGTATACCCACTTAGACAGAGTGTATTGCAATGGTGTGTGTGCCCATGCATATATGGTACATTGCAGCCCAAGCAGGTGTAACATCTGCGTGATTAGACCCACAGGCTCAAGGTGTATTGCCACAAGATACCCACGTGGACATGGTGTATTGCCACAAGATACCCACGTGGACATGGTGTATTTGTTGAGATCCACCTCCCCCTCAGGAGTAGTGATGAGATCAAGCATTTGCCCACACGCTGTCTGGTATGTCACCTGGCAGAGGGGATAGGGGGAGGGGGCAAGGGTGGGGCAGAGGGGAGAGGTGGGGAGAAGAGGGGAAGAGGAGAAAAGAGGAGCCAAGAGGGGGGATGAGGACAATTGAAAGGACTGGATTGAGGATGATGGTGTGCAAGAGGGGTGAGTACAGGTAATTTGTCAAGGAAGATTCAGGTATTGATAATGGAGGGGAGGAATGGAGGGAGGGGGAGAGAGTGATGAGAAGAAGCGTACTTCGTTGAAGAGGTCGAGCAGGCGAGTGCAGGCGGGGTGGGAGGAGAAGTGGCGGTGCAGCTTTGAGGCGCCTCAAAACATGAGATGACAATACAGACGCCTCAAAAAGGGGGGAGAAAGAGGAGCAGCGTACCTCGTTGAAGAGGTCGAGCAGGCGGGTGTAAGCGGCGTGGGAGGAGAAGTTTGAGATTTCTCAAAAGCGACTCAGATTTAAGGGAAAAGGAGAAGGGAGAAGCGAAGTACCTCGTTGAAGAGGTCGAGCAGGCGGGTGTAAGCAGGGTGGGAGGAGAAGTGGCGGCGCAGGATGAGGAAGATGTGGGAGTTGAGCAGCACTGCATCGTTGATGGCGATCATGCCCACCTGGAGGCACGCAGGCAGGCATGGGTGCATGGATGAAGGGAGGGGTGCATGGATGCTTGGACGAATAGCCAAGACATGCGGGGCGCAGGATGAGGAAGATGTGCGCGTTGAGCAGCACCGCATTGTTGATGGCGATCATGCCCACCTGCAGGCATGCATGGTCACATGGGCGTATGGGTGCATGGATGAAAGGAGGGATTCACGGATGCATGGATGGTTGCATGGGTGTAGTGTAGGGTACGCATGGCGGCGCAGAATGAGGAAGATGTGGGCATTGAGCAGCACCGCATCGTTGATGGCGATCATTCCCACCTGCAGGCATGCAGGCATGGGTGCATGGATAAAGGGAGGGGTGCACGGAGGAGGGAGGCGTACATGTCTAGGTACCCATGCAAAACAACCGGGGATGAGGAGGACGTGCATTGCCCACTCACCTTGTCCTCATTGCACATCACATGGCACAGAAAAGCACATGGCACAGCACAGCAGCGCAGAACAGCAATGCACAGCAGCACAGCACAGCACAGCACAGCAGCACAGCACAGCACCGCAAAGCACAGCACAGCAAAGCAAAGTCATGGCAGCACAGCACAGCAAAGCAAAGCACAGCACAGCAAAGCAAAGCACAGCACAGCGCAGCACAGCACAGCACAGCACAGCAGCACAGCACAGCAGCACAGCACAGTACAGCACAGCACCGCACAGCCCCGCACCACAGCAGCACAGCACAGCAGCACAGCACAGCAGAGCAGCACAGCACAGCACAGCCCCGCACCACAGCAGCACAGCACAGCACAGCACAGCGCAGCACAGCACAGCACAGCACAGCACAGCACAGCACAGCACAGCACAGCACAGCGCAGCACAGCACAGCACAGCACAGCACAGCACAGCGCAGCACAGCACAGCACAGCACAGCACGGCACAGCACAGCACAGCACAGCACAGCACAGCACCGCAGCACGGCACAGCACATCACCGCAGCACAGCACAGCACAGCACAGCACAGCGCAGCACAGCACAGCACAGCACAGCACAGCACAGCACAGCACAGCGCAGCACAGCACAGCACAGCGCAGCACAGCACAGCACAGCACAGCGCAGCACAGCACAGCACAGCACAGCACAGCACAGCACAGCACCGCAGCACAGCACAGAATAGCAGAAGCCAAAAGCCACGCCTGCACTCACCTTGTCCACGCGGTACCAGCAGGGTTGGCCTCGGCGGGTGATGGAGCTATCCATAATATCGTCTATCACCAGAAAGTACCCTTGCAGCTGTAGGAGGAGCAGGGGATACGTGGGTGGGAAGTGTGGGAAGGGGGGTTATAGGGAATTTTCAAAGGCCTCGACGGGTGATGGAGCTATCCATGATATCGTCAATCACCAGGAAGTACCCTTGCAGCTGTAGGGGGGGAGGGACAGATGGGAGGGCAGGAGAAAGAGGGGACGTGGTGGGGGGGGTCAGGGCGGGTGATGGGGCTATCCATGATATCGTCTATCACCAGGAAATACCCTTGCAGCTGTAGGGGGGGGCAGAGGGAAGGGGCGGCATGGGGCAGCGGGCAGGTAATGGAACGCGTTCAGTAAGGGCGGGTGATTGAGTTATCCATAATGTCATCAATCACTGGGAAGTAGCCTTGCAGCCGCACATGCATAGGGGGGCACATGCATAGGGGGGCACATGCATAGGGGGGCACATGCATAGGGGGGAACATGCATAGGGGGGCACATGCGGGAAGAAGAGGGGGAAGCGGAGGGGAAGGCGGGTGGTGGAGTTCAGGTTGATCCACGGGGTCACCAAAAGTAAAATTGCAATTGCACAAGGGAGGAGGAGGAGAAGGAGGGAGGAGGAGGAGGAGGAGGAGGAGGAGGAGGAGGAGGAGGAGGAGGAGGAGGAGGAGGAGGAGGAGGAGGAGGAGGAGGAGGAGGAGGAGGGGGGGGTTGGGGGGGGCACAATGCAGCTGCACAATAGGGGTGGGGCGGATAGAGCATTGAAGTTTGTAAGAGCAGTGCATGTCAGCCATACACATTTGATGCGATGCAGCAGCCATACACAGTCAATGCAGCAGCAGACAAACCCACTGAATGCACCAGCGATACCCAATCAATTTACCACCAGCCATGCACAATCCAGGCATCAATCATACGGCCATACCCATTCGATGCACCAGCCAACAGCACTGGCTTTGAAGACCTCATCTTCTGATAACTTATCAAAGCCGCCCTTGAGAATCCCCACCGTGTCCACCACTGATAGGCCGCGGTTCAGCTTGCCTGGCAGGCGTTCACAAGATGGGAGGAAGAGGGGGACAGGGCACGGAATGGGCCTTGAGAATCTCCACCGTGTCCACCACTGATAGGCCGGTTCAGCTTGCCTGGCGTGCAGACGAGGGGGTTAAGGGAACAGGAGTGAGAGGCACGGCGCACACGGAGAGGTGAATGGGAGCTGGCCTGACTGAAGATGTGTTTGACAGTGCACTGAGCTGAGCAGGAGTGTGTCTGATCTGATCTGATGACAGCATTATGAGGTAAGAAAGAAGTGAGTATTGACACGGCACAGCAGCAAGAGCATGCGTGCATACCTCCGGGTACATTGTGATCGATGTTCTGGCGAGCCAGGTTGAGAGTGCACCGTGTCGTCCTCCCATCACCCGGGCCGAACACCCACCAGCCAGCCGAGCACAGCGGCAAGGCAACAAACGCGAGAGTTGCAGCGACGAGCACAGTGGCGCGTACAGAGTTCCACATGCAGACAGGGGAGAGCGGTGGGGACAGGGAGTGGGATACGGGGGAGATGGGGAGGGAGCGGAATGAGGAGGACGTTATGCCATCATGTTATTATGCACGCGCCTTCTTGTTGCCTAGAACCTCTCTCCCTTAAGCTGTTTGAGTTGAGGCTCACATAGCCTCTACCCGACACTGCAAGTGATCCGCTCCGCAGCATGTTATCCTGCACTGGACACAACCTTCTCAATCCACGCTTTCGATTCGAGTCTGGCGAGCACGGCACGCAAACAGCTTCTCTTAGCCCAGCAGCTCCCTACCTACCCCATAAGCTGCGTGAGTTGCGCCTCGCCTCACACATCCTCCACCCAACACCACAAGCGATCCGCAGCACATCAAGCCATCTACCCTGCACGCACCTTCCCCATCCACGCTTTTGAATCCACCGTGCATGCGAACAGCTTGTTTTTGCCCAGAATTTCCTCCTTGAGCCTCTCAAAGCCTCTTAAAGCCTCTCAAAGCCTCACACAGCCTCTTAAAGCCTCTCAAAGCCTCACACAGCCTCTTAAAGCCTCTCAAAGCCTCACACAGCCTCTTAAAGCCTCTCAAAGCCTCACACAGCCTCTTAAAGCCTCTCAAAGCCACACAAAGCTTCACAAAGCCTCTACCCTACACTACATGCGATCCCCATCTCGCTACTCTTCACGCACCTTTTCCATCCACGCTTTCGACTCCGGCGTGCATGAGAACAGCTTGTCTTCGCCCAGCAGCTCCGCCTTGAGCCGCTCGAGCCTCATACAGCCTCTACTCTACACAGCAAAGGGTCCTGCACGCACCTTCTCCATCCACGCTTTCGACTCCGGCGTCCATGAGAACAGCTTGTCTTCGCCCAACAGCTCCGCCTTAAGCTGCTTGAACACGCCCAAGAACCGCTCGCGATCCATGGCACCGGCACTCCTGCTCCCGCTGCTGCCGCCGCCGCCGCCGCCGCCGCCGCCGCCGCTGCTGCTGCTGCTCCTGGCGGCTGACACGTTGCTGACGTGGTCCCAGCTCACTATGCCGTCGCTCTGATGGGTGTTGGGCAGGGAACGGCTTGAGCGGATTGACGGAAGCGTGCGTTAGGAGCATGCAGAAGAATCGCGAAAATAGCGCGGATACCACGGGGAAAGGAAGGAGAGTACGTGACGGGCCAAGACGACGAAATGTGCGAAAAGAAGAGGTGGACGACCCAGCGAGTCGTCTTGGGCCGCTTTGCACATCGCGATATATATAATAATTTAAAAAAAAAATGTAACCGTAGGTGGCTCGTCAACATGTTAAGAAAGAAATCGTAACCAGAATGTAGGCGGATCCGTAAGTGGAATCAAAAGTGATCTCCAAACGAAAAAAAACTCCACACCTCAAGTAGACGTCCAAAGTTTCTACTAATGATTTCGAATGAGGCGGCAATTCAGGTGAGCGGAGAAAAAGGTCAAACTTTTACATACTAACCGTGTATGGTGGCCCTGAACTTGAAAATGTTCTCGTAGTGGATTCACCGGCGCTGGGAGCGGCAACGCTTAGACAACGGTACGACAGACACGACGCGAGGAGCCTGTGAATGGCGCGCGCGCGGATCATCAACCAGCAAACAAACGACGGCTTTAACCACCGGTCTGAGCAGGTACTCGCCACAGGGATAGTAAAATACTCACGAGAGGTAAGCGGCGTTTACGGCACTGCTCGGACCAGATAGGCTGGGTTACTGGCCACTACGGGATCATGTGGCTCCACGGTAGTCTGGTCCGGCAATCTCACGCCTAGGGAGCAAGGAGTGATCACCGATTTGCTGGAAACGAATCGTGTGGTTGTCAGGATTTGCGGGGATGACGCGAGCGTGGGCATCAAATGGGCGTGAGTCTGGGACGAAACAAGCATGAACGTGATTTGCCCTGGGATTTGCGGCGACGAAACGAGGTCTAGCGAAGAATTCCAGAGAAGTGGGAGCGGAATCGGTGGGAATTTTGAGCTCGGCGACACTCGCACCGCAGATGCGTGCAGAAGTCATGTTACGCCTAATACTGATAGGTTGAACTGTCTTTTAGAGAACATGTGAAATACATATTGTTACTAATAGCAATGAATGAAGTTTAAAGTACACTCCCGACCGCAGCTAAGGAAGCATGCAGTATCGAGAACGAACGCGAAGAGTCAGAGTTGACTCGAAGCGTCAGACGGTTAAGGCGCATCTGGACCGTCGGAGCAGACGGCATCGAGCAGCTGCAGGCTCGAGGGCTTTTGGCAGGAACGGTTTCGTAACTGTACGCGCCGCACGGTTGGGAATGAATTTGAATAAGAGAATGCACCCCTTAGAGCATATGGCTAGCTAGGACGTTTCGCCTTCCCTGTACTCATATTTATATTTGTTGTATTTGCATGTTTTAATTTATCTCAAAACATTTTACATTCACTCTGCTATTGAAGTCAAGGGCCCACCAACTCTACCTCTCTGCGTGCGAACCTTCCCGAGTAGATCCTGGCAGCGATCAACATCTTGTCGCAGCATGGTATGAGAGCGGCTCGGGAATCCTTCGCATCACCACTCCCGAAAATTACGACATTCGGAAAGTGGCGTCCGGCACACGCTCGCGTGTAAGATGGCCGGAGGATCTGGTGGTCAAACTAATCTGACGGCTGAAGCGAGATCCAACCTGGCTGCGACAAGCGAGGAAACGACAATGATCGATCGGCACCGAAGTCCTCGCACAACTCCTTCAGCGACTCACCAGCTTGGAGCAAGGGCTCCAAACATTGCGGAACGACGATGCGGGAACATCCTCGCAACCTTCTCAACCGGCCCCAACTGGCCAGAACGCCGCCCCGCACACTTTCTCCCTCGACACAAATGGCTCATGTCAGGAAGAATAGGAGCGTGGCCTAGGCTTAGTAGCCTAGGCCACAGTAGGAGGTAGTAGGTTGTGCCCTAGGACTAGGGTTTGTGGTATACGAAGGAGAATTGGAGAAGTGAGAATGGGAATGATGATGTGAACTAGCAAGCAGCAGGATACATATAGGAAACCCTAAGGGGTTGTACTCACTATTGAGCACCCCACTGCAGGCTAGACAAATAACATAATCTGACACACCCCCATAGCCAAAGTGGGGTGTAATCAGCACACGTGAGAAGTCACAGCAATAGTTCACAATTATCAGCAAAGCTAGTGGCAGTCACAGGAGGCCAGTGAGGAGGAGGAGGAACTGTGGAGGGAGAGAAGAGAGGAGGCGACGACTGAAGTTGCAGACACACGGGCACCAGGAGCACCAGGTTGCAACCTCCTCCAACTGTCTCACTCCCCCCTACACTCACCCCCAGTGTCACCACTCGCTTCTCGCCCACATCACCCCCTTAGCGCCACTCCCTCGTCTCCCACACATCCACCCCCCCGCAGCGGCAGCTGCAGCAGTGGGAGACGGAGGAGAAGGTAGGGGCGACGCACAAGGAGCACCCCCACACCCGCCACCCCCACACCCTCCTGTCCAGGGGACGCAGGGGGGGGGGGGGGGGGGGGGGGGGGAGGGCCGGGGCGGGAGAGCGCACGAGGGCGCAGGCAACCGCGCGTGCAGAGCAACAGCGCGGAGCAGGTAGGGTAGAGCGCACGAGGGCGCGGGCAACCGCGCGTGCAGAGCAACAGCGCGGAGCAGGTAGGGTAGAGCGCACGAGGGCGCGGGCAACCGCGCGTGCAGAGCAACAGCGCGGAGCAGGTAGGGTAGAGCGCACGAGGGCGCGGGCAACCGCGCGTGCAGAGCAACAGCGCGGAGCAGGTAGGGTAGGGCGCACGAGGGCGCGAGTGAGACTGAGCGCGACTGCACAGGGTCCAGGAGCGGCGTCGCGGGCAGCTGCATGGTCGGCTGCTGCTGGTGCGGTTGCTCCAGGGGCGACGACTGAGGTTCTAGGGGCGGCTGCACCAGGGGCGGCTGCTCCACGGGCGGCGTCGCGGGTACAGGGGCGGCTGCACCAGGGGCGGCTGCTCCAGGGGCGGCGGCGCAGGTCCAGGGGCGGCTGCACCAGGGGCGGCTGCTCCACGGGCGGCGTCGCGGGTACAGGGGCGGCTGCACCAGGGGCGGCTGCTCCAGGGGCGGCGGCGCAGGTCCAGGGGCGGCTGCACCAGGGGCGGCTGCTCCCTGGGCGACGGCGCAGGTCCAGGGGCGGCTGCACCAGGGGCGGCTGCTCCAGGGGCGGGGTCGCGGGTCCAGGGGCGGGGTGGCGAGTCCAGGGGCGGCTGCACCAGGGGTGGCCGCTCCAGGAGCGATGGCGCTGGCGCAGGGGCGGCTCGCGCGCTGTTGCAGGGGCGGCGTCGCGAGCTGCTGCAGGGGCGGTGTCGCGAGCGACGGGCGACGGGGGGAGAGCAGCAGGCGGGCCCCCGGAAGGCGCCGCGACGACCAGTGACGGCGCCCAGGGGGCGTCGCGTCGTGTAGGGGCGACGCCGCGCGGGTCCCGCAGAGGTGTCGCGACGAGCAGGGCGACGCCGCGCGGGTCCCGCAGGGGCGTCGCGACGAGTAGGAGCGGCACCCAGGGGGGGGCGCCGCGACGAGCAGGGGCGGGCCCCCTGAAGGCGCCGCGCCATGCGACGGCAGGGAGCAGCACGCAGGCCCCCCGGAGGGCGCCTCGACGGACGGGATAACCGCCGCGCGCCCCGAGCGCGCGGCGGGTAGAATAAGCCGCCACACGCTCGAAGCGCGTGGCGGGAAGAAAAATCCAGTGCCGCGCACCACGGAGCGCGCGGCGAACAGTAGGGCAGCGGAAGCAGTTGGTGGGCCCGTTGAGCTAGGCAGCAGGATCTTGCCCGCTCTAGATACCATGTCAGGAAGAATAGGAGCGTGGCCTAGGCTTAGTAGCCTAGGCCACAGTAGGAGGTAGTAGGTTGTGCCCTAGGACTAGGGTTTG